ACGTACTTCTGAATTTCTTGTGTATATGTTTGACCACTTTCTTTTCTCATAGGTAAGGTATAATCTTCTCTTCCTTTACTATTACTATTTGAAAATCTACCTTCGAGAGATATTGTTTCCTCAAAACAATTTACCTTTATACTTTTTGCAGAACTTTTATTACTGTGAATAGTAGCTGTATGTATTTGTAAAACATCATTGAAATCATCATATAATGAATCAATTTCATTTCCTTTATTTGGAAACAGCTTGGATATTACATATTCATAAAGCATATCAAATATCTCATCTTGCGATGTTTTCTGTAATCTTTGCTTAGATGAATTTTTCCTTTTCTACAAATAATATATGTATATAGTCTTTTCAAAGATTGAATTTTTTTACTAAATAATTTTCTTTCTAGGGACAAAGGAATTTTTAATGACAAGTATTGTTATTTTTAAGTCTATTAGGTTATTTTAATAACATGTAAAATATTCGGTACCTTTAATGAAGTACTATGTTCTGGAAATACCTCCTCATTATTAGAATCAAAATTATTCTTTATCTGACTATAATTTACGTTCAAATCTTGATAGTTACTTTTAGGTGAAAGAAACGGATTCTTCCCAACTATTCTTAAATGAGGTATTTGCATTCTCCATTGTATACATTCTTCCAAAACAGATGTTTGAGTTACTTGATTACCATCTTCATACAATGTACTTTCGATAGCTTCCCACTGTTCCATAGCTTTCTTCGTTGCAATATTTTCAATTTCTGAAGAACAGGATATATCTGTTGCAGTACTATTTCTATCCCAAGTTGATACATTGTCATCAACATCTTTCCAAGTTTTCTTCTTTTGTAAACTTGGTAATTGAAAATAATCACTTGATTTATTTTGATTATCTCGAGAATTATTCACTCTTGGTAAAATTTCAGAAGTTCTTATATTTTGTAGTAATCTATAGAAAATAATGTTTGAAATTCTTTCACAATAAATTATATATAACATAGAAATTTAAAAATAAAAGTAATTTACAAATTATGTTTATATGTAAACATTTAGGTAAAATGAATAGAATGTTATTACAAAACATACGTGTTACGTTTAAGTTTCCTTTTATGCATTTCATGCTTCTTAAAACGGGTCTTTAATCAACTGAAGTTACTTTTAATCATTTATCTGGAAATCTTTTCGTCGTACTTATTACACGAAACCTACACTGACCACGGTAATTTTATTGATTATTTCCTTAAAAGAAGATCTTTGGTTTAAACCTTTAATTTGAAGCATTCTACCGCCATCATATTATGAATGATTTATTATTTTCTTTGAATAATTAAAAAAACACAACTTTACCATGAGGTAACATCTGATGGATTAAAATTTATGATTCGTCGCACAGTTTAGGTATATCTTATTTACTTTCGTATAACATATATTCTAGTTCTAAATAGCATATTCACTATTGGTCAATAAATGAAATGATACATTTTTCTATAAATTTAGTATGAAAGACATTGTATCGTGTTGATATCGTGTTTAGGATTATATAAGTAATTACTGTAAAATGTATAATAATATTCTAATGTATAAAATCGAAAATAAAACTAATTTGTAATATTACGCTATTGTATGAACTCGCTTTTGACATAACTGCGTGAAGTTTGCTTCGACGAATGTATTTAGTTAGAAATATCCCGTATGGACCGAGGGTGAAACCTAAATTAACTTATATAATCATGTATAAGATATATCGCTTATATGTGTATGTTTATTGTTTTCCTTCAGATTATAGACTTTCTACAGCTTATGATATATATATCTTGCTTATAAACTATTGTAACACGGTGCATCTATGAACTTTTGTAAACTGTTATATATAAATAATAAATCTAAATATAAATAATAATATATTAGTATATAAACAATAATGTATGTTATATATAAGTAGTACAGTATAACTTAAAATCGTAAATGATGCAAGTTATAATGTGTGTAGCCGTTCCATTGCGTGGATTATTACAAGACCCATGTGCTTCCCACCTGAACGTACAGGTAGCCAAGGTCATAAAAGCCTCGTGTTCTGCCATGCTCATCGCTGATTGCGAAGCTGTCTCCAAAATGTTATAAATACAGGTTCTAATTAAACAAAAGGGAATTCGACTTTACAATGGAGAAGACTAGAAAGACTCTTACTATTCTCGGTTCACTGAACTTTTCTAATCTCTGCAAAGAAGATCTCGTACTCAAGTTCTTAGAATAAACCACCGCGTTTAAAAGTATTGACTGTTTTCAATTCTCGCGCATTTCGCTTCACAACTAGCACCAACCCACTCGTCTTATCCCTAAAACTGCAAGGTAAAACATAACAGTAATAATTACTTCTTTTACCGTATATAACCTCTACAAGACCGTTTAAATATACTGTGGAATAGTTGGCGAAACTGTCTAGTGAATGCAGGATAGCAAAAACAACAATTTGAAGAGTTGTATATAATTTATGACAAAAATTGAAAATATAAATGGAGAAAGATACGTATTTTAATTTTTTAAAATACATGTCAAAAAATACTTACGGTATATTTATGTTTTATATAATCTGAACATTATTTTGTTGTGTTCTTTTTGAGGATTTTTTCAGGAAAAAGGTACGTGGGTTGGTGCCCATGAAACGCTGAACCACCCTGCTCGCAGAATTGCGCGAAAATTCAAAAAGACTTCGGCGTTTCTAAACGATCGTTTATTCCAACTTGTACGTTTCGATTACGACAGAAAGAAATAAACGCTTAGAAGTAAAAAATTGAATTGAATTGAGAACTCACTTTTCTGTTTTCGATCATCGGTTCCTGCCCTTTCTTCTTTGTTTAGGATCCCCTTCCTTTGTGTTCTTAATCCAATGATTCAATGAATCACACAGTTATAATACATACAGTTATTAATATTCAATAGTATTAACATTAATGATATACACTTCTCGTCAAAGAGATAGCCCAGGTGTGCTATCTTTAATTTCTTAATGACGCGTGTAAAGTTTTTCGTCCGTAATGTATAATATCAAAACATTATGAGCTCAGGATATGCGGTTCGTTGAAAATAATTATAAATATTATGAGATTTAGTGTGTAACAAAAAAGAATCGTTTTATTTTAAGAACGAAATGATAGCACATGTACAATAAGAAAATAATAATCAACATAAATTGTAACTAACAATAATTAACATATATACTTGTTTAATAATGGGTACATCCCCCTTTATTTTCTATTACTTCTATTGTAGGATTTGGTATCGATTTATATAGTTTCTGGATATAATTTAGACTTAACGTATTCCATTCGAGTACAATTGCATTTTTTTAATTCTTGTACGTGTTGATACTGCTTTCCATTCGCGTATACGCCGTGAACAAGTTCTGCCCAGCAATTTTCAATAATATTAAGGTCCGTGGAGCGTGCAGGCCACGGCAAAATAGATATATTATTTTCATTAAAATATGATTGTACCAATCTTGATGTGTGTACAGATGCATTATCTCGTTGAAAGATGTAATCAGGTCCAGAAATGCGTTCTGCATGATTATTTATTTGTTTTTTGATTAAATTTATGTATCGGACACTATTCATTCTCCCATCGATAAACTTGATACTTGTCTTGCCGAAGTAACCGATGCCGGTCCAAACCATCACGCTGCCTCCTCCTATTTGTCGTCGAATTGCTGACATTGTCTCTTTTCTTATGTCATGAAAATAATATTACAGTCCATCAGGACCATCCAAGTTTAATCTTTTTTCGTCTGAAAACAGTACCTTTCTCCATTTCTTTTTCCAATGCACTCTTTCTTTTGCATAGCGTAAACGTTCTACTTTGTGTTTCGTTGTTAACGAAGGTTTCTTTTTCAATTTTAGCCTCTCAATATTTTTGCAGGATAGTAGAACTCGACGAACACTTGAAACACTGGCGCTAACATTAGATTTCTCCATTATTTGCTTCGTTGTTAACTGCGAGTTGGAAGCTACACGCAAAATTGCTCGCTTATCACGATCGGATAGCGATGACGGCCGACCAGTACTTTTCTTTTTGCCATAATCTTCAACGTTTTTTAAGAAATTGTGTATTACTCTACGACTTCTTCTTATTACTTCCGATATTTTCGCTACTGATAACCGTTGCTGTTTTAGTTCAAGAATTTGCTTTTTTTCAGACTCGCTTAATCTTTTTCCGCGTCCCATAGTTACAAATTTATGTAATATTGTACTGTAATCTTTACTCGCTGATAGATTACGAACTACTGAGCAATTTCTAAACACATTTACAGAGTGTGCTATCATTTCGACCTTAGTATTGTAGTATCGTTGACGAGGGGCCTGGAGAGTGTCGCGCGAATTATAAACAAGCGGTTGCTGAGCATGTGCGTGATGGGACAAAAGATATGAGGCTAAGACAAAAGATAAGGGGTTGCTAAGGGACATAAGAAGCCCCAGAGAGGGGCCAGAGAGTGCGAATGGCGTTGTCAAGATAGCGTTGCTAGCGTTTTTGAGAGAGAGTCGAATCCGTGGTGACGAAAGTTACTAATTAATTATTTGGTTGTCTTAATTATAATATGTTGTCGTGATTAGTTCATGTTAAATAACCATCGTTTACTGTTTAATCAATATCTGTTTAATCCATTTATTGTAAATAAAATAATTATAATAGTTTACAATACTACAGTATGGAACAATTTTTCTTTGTTGTATACAAACATCTACGACATTGTGACTTATTTCCAGCAAGTCGCGTATCCTGAGCTCATAATATTTTGATATTGTATGTTACAGACCAAAAACTACACGTATCATTGGGAAGTTAAAGACAGCACACCTGGGTTATGTTTTTGACAAGGAGTGTAATTAGTAATATAGATTTGTTTACATTTTTGATCACAAAATTTGTACTTTGTTCTGTTAATTTTAATACTTTTATTTTATTATAAAGAATATCAAACAAATTTTAGTAAATAAGATCAGAATCGTTACTATATATTTAATAAATATTAAAGTATTTAACCTGTATAATAAGGGATCTTAACAATATATTATACAAGTATACTATAAACAGCTAATACATACTTAGATAAAAGAACTTGTAAAATATGCACTGTCATGTAGGATTTTGTGTAAGTCTTGCATGTAATGCTGTGTGAACTTTTGTACATTTTCCACTTCTTGATTGTATGGGAGATTGAAACTCCAATGATACTCGCTTGGAGCTGTTATTAAGTGTAATTGGGGATAGACTAGATGGCTCACCATAAGATTGTAATTTTTCAAGCCGTTTTTGTATGGCAACAGATTTTGCTAGTTGATTATTTATTAAACTCCTTCCGTGGAATTCCTGATATACATGATCATTAAATTGCTTATTAGCATTAATATTTTCATTTGATACATCTCTGTTGAAATTATTTCTCATCATTGATTTCTTTTGTACTTTCTCCGAAATTTCTACCACACAGGTATCTATATACGTACTAATATCCTTTGAAAATATGATTTAAAAATGATTTAGTAACAAGATTATAAAGTTATTAAATTTATCACACCGATATCTTCCAATATATTCAAAACATTTACCGTTATCAAACGTTTTAAATTTTCTAAAGGTTCCTGAAGGTGACTGTCTCGAGGATTATGCGTAAAAATACTTCGTTCTGTGCAATATGCCACTGGTATATTCCATGATGTAGCTCGACGCCATTCTAAATTGCCACAGGCAACAAGAGATCCTACAGTCAAAATTTCTGCATACCCAAAAGAAGATATCCCATGCCAAAAGAGTATTGATAAATATGAAGACACAGAATCCGCATGTGGATATGCTAAATACACAGCTTGAAAATTTTTCATACCCTAACAAATAAATAGAAAAAATTATCATTGTAAATCTTCAATTTCAGATATATATTTACAATAACTTACATAGGGTTCGTTTCCAATAGAAGCAATAATTCCTACTGTATCAAATTCTCCATAAGCTGGAGTGAAGGTTGGCTTACTTATTTCACATAATGCTGTATATGTTCTCAGACGAAAACTATTATCAGAAATGTTTACTTGGATAAATGATGCATTTCGATTTGCAGTTAATAGCAACTCATTACCTCTATTACAATAAATATTATTATGCTACACTTGATTAGCAATAAAAAATAGTAGAGAAATATAATATAGAAATTAATACCTTTTTGCCGAGGGCATAACATTACAAAGTGATATACAATTTCCTTCTTTTAAAATATCTATAACTTCTTCGCTGGGAGACCAAACTGAAAGAATAGCATTTGTTTCTTCCTCAATTACGCGAATTTTTAAAAGAGGTGTAACCTGTCGCGGTAGAGGTAAGTTTTCTTGTAATCGAGACTCTAATTTTTGTCTAAATTTCTCCTGTTTCATGAGACAATCATTCTTTAATTGCTCTAGCTCTTGTTCCGAACGAAATTCCTATGACAAAAATATAAATTTGCAAACAGTTATAACACAGAAAACAATTATTGTATATTGTTGTTGTATTAGTTAATACCTCTTTAAATAATCTGTCGCAATCTTCATTCCATTCGACTGCTGCTAAATCGATACTGTCTGTATTTAAATTACTTTTGCATTTTCCAGTATGAAAATATTTCTCTGCTTTAGCATAAAATGCTTCTATCATTGACCGACATTCCTTTTCATAGATAATGCTAGCTTTTTCTTCGCATCTAGCATTTCGAAAAACTAGAATCAGGAAATGAAATGGTTTAAAATGATTAGAAAGAGCTGAAAATATTAAAAGCACGCATGCATATCTTACTAGATTCTCCTGTTGAAGTTTTCTCATGATATAACATTGGATATACCCTCGCAACTATAACTTTAATTTTCCCAATTAAGCCACCATTTGGATAAATGGTCTTTAATTTAGTGCACATTGGTCCCGATGGTACTGTATACCCTAACTTCATATCCCATCTTGCTCTTCTTGTTGAATTTGTATGTAATTTTAAACATACATTCTCTGCAATCTAAGAGATAACAATTTTTAATGTATTAAATATTCTTCACTAAAATTTAAAGAAACTTTTGAAACTATATTTACTTCCAAAGGTGAGCATCCTTGATCACAATTTAATAATTCAGATCCATATGTTAATAATTTTGTTCCCTCTTTTATTTTGCCAGATATTATATGTTTCATCATTGCCTGATCAATTGAAGCTTGAATACTATACCATCCATCTGTTAATATCAATTTTTGGGATGATATTTTTAATTGATTTTTGTTTTCGATATCAGAATCATCACACTATATACAAAAAGAAAGAAAAACCTAAATATTGATTCTCAATAAAAAAAAAAAGATTCATCTGCATTAAAAAAAATTACTTTATTAATAGAAGATACACATAAAACCATTCTCTTGGTTGCAACATCATCTTTCTCTAATATTTTTCTTAAAGCCGATCTTTGAGATCTATCAATTTCCCTGTCATAACGATATTTCAATTCCATCATTACCCTGGCAGGAGTTAGAGCTCTAAAAAGTAACTCTTTTTTATAGTAATTTATATTTTTTAACATGTTCAAATTATAAAAATAATTCAAAGTTCTACCTTGGTAGAATGATATAACCTAGTTTTATTCTATCCATTGATGCTAATTTCCATACAATCCATTTGTAATGATTTTCTACCCAACCAATGGGAAGTAAGTTAGGATCTACACCTGGACTTGCTAAAAAAGATCTTTTAATTTCTGTTATTCCTACATAACCATTTTCATCCAAAATTAAACAAGCTCCATCTTCCAATTTTATACCATCAATATTATTTTGCACAATATTTTGCCTAAACAGTGTAGACCAAATTTGTAATCCAGTATCTAATGAACAAAAAGTCATTTTTGACCAAAATATGTCTCACCCATAAAAATCTGCACAATGAAATTTATACATTGTCGCATTATCAGCTCTTAGATCCAAAATTTCAGGTGGTAATTTTCTGTTAACAAGCTAATAAATAAAGATCAATAATTAAAATTTAATTGTTTAATAAAAAATTATATCTTTTTTCTTAAACCTTACCTCTTCATCTGTACATAGAATAGGTTTTTCTCCCTTACTAATTTCTTTCCATGATATACGATTATTGGTATTACTCTTTCTGTGAAAATATAATTTACCGATTGTTGGTTTAGGCTTACTTTTTTGCTTCATACTAATTTGTTTTTCCTACAAGTATAAATTAAGATATCGTTTTTTAAAATTTCTTTTAAAAATAACATTAATAGTAACAATAAGACATATTATATTGAAGCTTACTTGTTCTAAAGCAGCTTCTAAACGTTTCTCTAATACAGTTACAGATTGATTTATAAAGTCTATCATTAATTGAGAGTCACCAAAATCATTAACGACTGCAGAGTCATACTGATCCTGTTTATCTGTTAAATCTTGCTTCTCTGTTAAACAATTATCTTTTTTATTTATATATTGGTTCAGACTTGCATAATCATCATTTAACTTTTCTACATTATCTATAAATTTATCTGCTTTATTACATAAACATGCCAACTTATCTACTTTATTTTTTGAGGTATTTGTAGTTTCTCTTCTACCTGTACTCCTTCGCTTTTTACGAATAAATTGTCCTCCTATTACTGGGCTAGATGGAACACTTACAGTTTCATCATTTTTTTCAATTTCCTTAGGAGATATTTGTTGCTCCGTGAAATCTAAATCCTTTTCATCAGCTAAAAGTGCAACTGCACTAGCTATTTCATGTGAAATTACATAGTTATCTATTATTTCATCACTTTTCTTGCTTGTTTCAGTAATATTAATCATAATATTATCTTTTAATTTAAGTTCAACATCACAATTTAAAGTTACTTGCATAGATACTGAAGATGTGTTTTGATTTCCTTTTTCTTCATTATTCAATGAGTTTCTATGAGTAGATTTTAAGACTTGAAACTCATTACTAAATCGTAATTTCTTAAACTGACTAGATTTTGCTTTGTTGATCAAAGATACACTGTCATCTACATCTTTAATTTTTCGCTTCTGCAATGGTTTAGGTAATGCAAGAATAGTTTCAAAATCTTTGGAGACTTCTTCTTGAAACATTGCTTTTGCTTTTGATAGTGCTTCATTGGTCACATTAACGCATTTACCACTTGCAGTTTGAAATCCAACATCTGGTATTTGCGCATTAAATGTATTAATTTCATTTTCAGCTTTGAATTTTTGTCCAGAATTGTCACTTTCTTTAAGCTCATTATTAAAAAGTTCTCTTGCTTTTGATAGTGCTTCATTGGTCACATTAATGCATTTACCACTTGCAGTTTGAAATCCAATATCTGGTATTCGCGCATTAAATGTATTAATTTCATTTTCAGCTTTGAATTTTTGTTCAGAGTTGTCACTTTCTTTAAGCTCATTATTAAAAAGTTCTTTTGCTTTTGATAGTGCTTCACTGGTCACATTAATGCGTTGACCACTTGCAGTTTGAAATCCAACATCTGGTATTTGCGCATTAAATGTATTAATTTCATTTTCAGCTTTGAATTTTTGTCCAGAATTGTCACTTTCTTTAAGCTCATTATTAAAAAGTTCTTTTGCTTTTGATAGTGCTTCACTGGTCACATTAATGCGTTGACCACTTGCAGTTTGAAATCCAACATCTGGTATTTGCGCATTAAATGTATTAATTTCATTTTCAGCTTTGAATTTTTGTTCAGAGTTGTCACTTTCTTTAAACTCATTATTAAAAAGTTCTCTTGCTTTTGATAAAGCTCTCTCAGACACATGGATTGAATTACCACTGGCAGTAGCAAAACCAAATGAGAAACCATCACTTTTATTATGCATATTTATATATATTAAACTTTTAAAATCTGCACGAAAATATATTTACTAAATAGATTGATATTAAAACGATGTCAACACTGAAAATCATTCGTTCTTACATTTTGATTGATGATATTTAAGCATTTTTCATAATTACCATTTTCCAGGTATTAAGACGAATTTTGCGATAAACACAAGTTGTCAAAGGATGCCATCTGTAGAAGTATCTGACAAATTAAATTTTTTTGTAGGAGAAAGCCATCTATATATTATATTATAAAGTCAGATTAATACTATCTGATATTATTTTAACTCTCATAAACTATTAATCGTACCAAATTTTATAGGCTAAAATAAGTAATTCATTTGAGGAAGATAAGTTGTTATTTTGCCAAATAAATTAAAAATATAATTTCAAAAAATATTTATTGCTTGTTAGCAATATTTAAGCGAAAATTAGATATATATAAATATATAGAATTATTTAGCTAATCTATTTTAAGAAAATTTATATTTTAGAAATTTCTAATTTTCTATGGATATAGTCAAATTAAATTGCATTACATATCAGTATATTATAAGCATAGCATGTATAAGCTGATATAAGTATCATACATCAATATATTGTAAAGAAAATAATTCTCGTAGTTTCTTAATATAGATAATCAATGTTCTAATTTCAAGTTTTCTTCGGCATTTTATGAGACAATAATTTTGAAATTAATATGAATTATAGATATCATAATGTAATACTAAATTTTTATTTTCTTTCATAAAAAAGATGTTTTTACTTTCCTAAGAAAATAATTATATTACAATTTTATGCTCTGAATAATCAAATATTAAATTTTATTCTATATTTAAATAAAAATTTTAGGCAAGATCGTGTCTTGGGAAATGTGAATATTGTCAATAATCTATAGAACCGGCAAAACACTGGTTTAACCTCATTACGTTTTTTGTATTAATGCATGTGATTTTGCGCGGGAGACTAAGATTAATATATTTATTATATTAATCAGTTAATATGAAATTTAAAGCGTATACCGGAATTACATGGTCCGTTTTGGAACTTACGGGCCTTATAGAAGATGAAGATTCTTGCGTTTATTTTGAGAAATTTAAGAAACATATTGGTTTACATCCATTTCACTTAACGAACTTAAATACCGCGTTAAATGAAATTTTAAGTTCGAATTTGAATTCCTACGATCCTGAGTATGTATATAATTTTCATTAATTGTAATAAGATACATACTTTATACAAATTTTTATTCAACAGTATCTATTTAAATTAAATATAAAAAGCAAATATATTTTTTGGTTATGTTTATATTCTGATGTTAGAAATATTTTTTTCAAAATTATATTTATTACAGCTTGAAAGGATTTTTATTGGCTTATAAAAACCCTAAATTATTAACACCTTTGGGAGAAATATTTTATGATACATGTTTTATTCATGTTGATACTGAAGCAGACTTCTATATATTTAGACCAGAAGTTGGATGTACATTGAAAGGTAAAACTATTTTATCACAGCATAGTTCTTAAATTGTCTAGTTGTTATTAATGAACATAGGGTTTGTAGGAATAGTGAATAAAAAGGGGCTAGATCACATTGGGATTCTCGTACATAAGGCATTTAATGTATCAATTCCAAAACCAGATGACGAAGAAAATTGGCCAGGTGACAATCTTGAAATTGGGCAAGAAGCAAGATTTGTAATAACACTTCTTGATTTTAGTAGTAAATTACCTTTTATTCGTGGTGTCTTAAATGCAGAGTAAGTATATCTAAATTTTATTTTGTTTAGGCTTTAAATTCTTTTCATTTGTTTTTATACATTCAAAACTTTCTTATTTCAGTGATTATTTACGTGGTTGTAGATTAATGCTAAAAAGCATTAGTAACAAAAGATTATCTTCTGAGAATACTATTCAAAATAATAATCAGGTTTTAGAAAAAAATGTTAAGCATACCAAAAATCATACATTTTTTGCAACTGATTCTGAAAATACCACTGATGAAGATGTAGCAGAAGTAAAGAAAGAAACTGTCCAATGGAAAAAATCAGAAAAGAAATTAAAACATGAAGAATCAATCACATGCGGTGAAAAGAAGAAGAAAGATAAGAAACGTGATAAAGAGTTTAAAGAATTAAATGAATCTAAACCTAAATCGATCAAGGTAGAAACTGTACATGATCACTATACGAATAATCTTTCCTTAAATAGTAAATTAATGGAAAATGAAGAATTAGAATCTATTAATTTAAAAAGTAAAGTTAAGAAAAGATCCAGAGTTCAACATTCTCAAAGTTGGATAAATGAAGATAATGATGAAAAGCCTGCACAACATTTACCTAGCAAAATATCCAATAAATCTATTTTAGAATCAAAAGATGATATCATGAAAATTAAGGTCGAACATAATGTAGTGATTGGAAGTGATATTGAAATTATACCTGAAAATAAGCCCAAGCTAGAGAAAAAATCTATGAAAAGAAAGAGTTTAGATGATAGTGATACTTCCTTAGCTGATTTGAATGCAGATAAATGCATAGTAAGTTCAAGGAGTATAAATAAAAGAAATTCAAAGAAAATAAAAATGGAAGAATCGAATGATAAATACACACATGAAGTAAGCGATGATGCACAAGATTCCCCAAAGAAGCAATTTAAGAAACATAGAAATTCTTTAAAGTTGGAAACCTCTGAAAGTGACCAAGTCTCAATAAAAAGATCTAATATTTTAGATTCTGAAGTTGTGTTTCAAAATATAAAAATTAAGAAAGAGAAAATTATTAGTGAATCTGAAAACACCCAAGACGAAGATTATGCAGAAATAAATAAAATGTCAGAAAAGGATCCTGATTTAAACACATTTAGTTCTACTTATGATGTAGAAGAAGATAAAAATAATGCTATTAAAAAGAAACGGAGAAAACATTCGAAGAATGTTATTATAGATACAAGCACAATTAAAGTAGAACCCGAATCTGAAGACGTAATTAAAATAGAATGTGGATTTGAAGAAACTGCAATTAAAGTGGAAAATTTGAATAATAATGATGATATACATGAAGACGTCTATTCAGAACAAGATGTAAAAGCAACGACTAGTTCACCTAGGAAAAAACATAGTGTCAACTTGAGTGATGATAATAATAGAAGTAACATAAAACGTTCGAAAAAGAAAGAAGTAGATAAAGAGATACACAGCGGAAAAGTAAAAACGGAGAAATTTGTAGTAATTGATGGATCGGATATTGACAACAATGATGCTAATCTTCAAAATACTGAAAAAAAGAAAAAACATAGTAAGCGATCATTACATAAACAACTAAATAAATCTAGGGAATTTGAATCAGGTAGTGAGTCTGAGTTTGATTTTAGGAATGTTAAAATTAAAACCGAGAGGCTTTCAGATAGTTAGGAAGATAAGAAAATACATATATAATTACTAAAAATTAAACTGTAACACATAATTTCATTTTATCTTTCTTTTTTTAAGAAAGACATACTAAAGTCGCATATACGTACATAAAAAAGGTTATAATAAACATACAATATGACATATTTACAAGAATATATAATATGTATATATATGAATTTTATTTTGCTATGCTAGCAGTGACCATATTGAACATATTTTGTACATGTTACTGATAGATTATTTTTTTATTCCATGAATTTTAACCTGTATATTTCATCCTTTTCTTATATGAGTAAATTTCATTTATTTATAATGTATCATGTTGCAATAAGACTTTATGGCTCAATAAATATATCATTATTTTGCCATATATCATATTTTGGAAAATTGGAGTACAAATGTAATTTGTAAATGATATGATGATAAAATTGTAAACCATAAGAATGTAAAATTTACAAAACTACTTTAAATAAATACGTGAATAGATTTTTGTAGTGTATACCTTATAAGTTTAAGAGAATGTGCAAGAGTGAATATTGTAACAGTGAATATTAAGAAATATAAAAATATGTTTATTAGTACATACAGATTTATTATTTTACATCACAACTGTTGCAAATTTTAATTCTTGTTGCGTACTAAATTTTGAAAGATATCAGGGAATTGAATTTTAATCTCAAAGTAATCACTAGCTTATAAAAAAATATAACCACAACTTTGTTTTTAGAAAATATTAATGTAATTTATACACGTATGATGCTCTGTTCCTTCATAAAATATATAAAAAATTAGGATAATAGATTTATTATAAAACAGAAATTTTTGGCGAAATAAATAACTAATAAAGTTATTAGTATCTTCATACGTATGGAGTTCAATGCAAGTTGTGTTTTAGCATTTACCTTGTACGTTATGTCATATGATGATAGAAATACATATAAATTAGATACTTTTATGCAATGCCCATACCTTATTTTTTAAATGAGTCATTTAAACATATAAAAGAAGGTACTGGTAATTTGATTGTTTGAAACTTTTTTTTATTCCTCACTTATATCAAGGAATTTTTGTAAAAGCAGTAATCTGTTTATTTCGGAAAATTTACAATGAAAAATTTTATATAAAAACAATTACAACTTTCAAGCATTTTCCTACGCTTAATGGTGTGATCAAATATTTTGTCCTTACATATTAACATTTATTTTTAAAGTACCATTTATACTATATTGTTTGATGATATATATTTATTTACATATACACGCTTTATGTACATTATTCTTATATAACATACGTAAATTATTGTTTTTATTCGATCGGTTCACCTAGCTGCATCGTGAAATAATTTCATCAGTTTCATCTTTCGGCATAAGAATATTCTTATCTTCCTGGTTTTTGCACAAAAATATAAGAAACGGTATGGCCAATATTTACGTGAAGAATTTACGTCGAAATGTTTATAAAAAATGCAAATCAAGTTCACAATCAAGTTCTGAAAGAAAAATATAATTGAAAAAGAAGCTCATAGGAATGAGATCTGTTCAAAGGAAGATTTTAACATCTACTTTTATAATAAAATTGTAATATGGAATAATGAACGGTCGAAATACATTCAAGAGCATTACAGAATGTGATATTCAAAAATGTTTCTTAACTGTATTTTTATAGTTTTCAGAAATTCATTTTTCATCACTGTGTAAGGATAAAAAAATAATTAGTTATCTTTAAAAATAAAACTTCGCTTATTATAATAAATTAAATATTGAGTTTTGTTTTAATCTTGTAATGCTTGCAAATAGTTGGAGAAAATTTTCAGAAATTCCAGCCAGAAAATTTTAGTATTGTCATAAGATATCGAGTATTTTATATTCAAAATAATTTCATATTGTGTATATTCAAAATAATTCATCACAGTATACGCTGACGAGGTTCTAATCCCTATATACCTGATTCGTATCATTGTTGTATGCCCTCTTAAAACAACATATGACATGTAAAGAGATTGTGTGTTCACGTTGCAACGTGCACTGCTTGTAGCTGCTGGAACGTTCGTTATCATTCTGTGGTTTCTTATAATTTAATTAGGTACGCTTTGCGTCATATATCACGCGTTCTGTGAGAATACATATATACACGCAACGTTAATTTGTCGCTAAAACAACGAACAGGAACTTGGACCTTAACGCCTGCTAGCGTTCGTTCCCTGATGTTCGCCGGAACTATCTAAATTTCATCCGATGCGTTCAATAATTGAAAGATGCTCCGTTGATCTGTATGCAGTGGCACGATAAAACATTTATACTGATTACTGTGAAAAAGATTTCAGATACACGTATGTATGTACAGTATTAACTTAACTGCTCGCCTTACGAAACGGACAGTGTACAATGAATATATTATATACATATAAATATCTATGTAATTGATTCTTGAAGCAATAATCGATGTACGATATCACTGTCTATTGTCTTCTAAATGTCTTCGAAACTATGTAAAACAATTCATTAAATACAAGATGCGTCGTTTGAAGGAAAGACTATCCTATGTGCGATGATTTTATTGTAGATTCAGTCACTCTTATTCTTCTTTTTAATAAAGTTATGTATTTTTTGTATATACTTCTGATACTTATGCAACAAGAAAAGATTTTTACGTTTGTATAGAAATTAATTTAATTATTTCGTAATAATAAATTGAAAATATT